TATATCGTCAAATAGAACTGCCCGGTAAACCGTAGGCAGAGAGGGAGAAGAGGACAACAAACGAGAGGCTGTGACAAACTGTTTCGTCGGAGTTTCACCGACTCATCAGGAGGCTGAACCCTAGTTCCCTTCCCTCTCACACGCTTCTCTCTCTCCTGCACACGCACCAGCTGTGGTGAGAGAGAGGCGAGTTTAGGGCCCTCCCAAGTCCAGTACCGGAGACTGTTGAGGGCCTCTCTCATAACAGCAGCATGTGGAAAACAATGCAAGGCAAACACACAGAGGGAAAGCTCCGAGCAAACGCCTTTCTCAAGCCAACGTAGATCTCATGTTTTCCGCTGAGCGCTCCCTTCACTTTCCTCGAAGAGACTCCCCTCCAATTTCCTTGGTGATGTACAGTGTTCTTTAGTACCTCATGGATTGTACAGCTTTTTCGGGCCCGTGTGGTACTAGCTAACACGGTACATCACCAAGGGCAGTGCCGCAAACATGGCACGCGCTTGCATGGTGCCTTTTCACCCATTACAGGGTGAAGATTAAATCTGTTTCCCTTTCACTTTCAATGTGCGAAGCTCTTTTTGTTCTTTTTCACCAGAGCTGCTAGTAAACCGTTTTCTTGATTCTCCTGGCGAAAACAGCTTAATTTACCAAGCCACACCATGCTGATCCATGCTCATGCTTCTCATAGAGAGACCAGCATTCACTACAGGTTGCCAAGCGGTGACCACAATAGCAGTAAACAATTGGCATAGCATATGGCTTTGCAGTAGGACTGCCACACACAGAATCATGGACCACACTTCATGGTCATTCAGGGAGGCAGGAACTCACCTTCGGATTAAGAGATTTGATTAGCGCATCCAATTCTTCCTTGGTCGAGTAGCCCCACCATTGTTGCTGCTGCAACTGACCATCTGCATCAACATAACCCGCACCATTCTCATCTGGAAAACCCAGCCCTTTGAGTGACTCTTCAACAAATAGCACACACGACTCTGCTGGAAACCACCAATACCGATTATGATACCGGTCTTTCCCAAGTGGCTGTGCTCTCAATATAAGCTTGCACATCTCCCTTTCGAATGTCTCTTCTCTCTTCTTCTCTCTCTCTTCCCTAAGTTTCACGGCCTCCTCTGCCTGCATGATGGTAAACAAAGCAATCCCATAGTTCCATGCCACTCAGCAAAAGGCTTCCAAACCACTTTGTCTCCCAAGAAACTCCACGCTCAAAATGCAAAATGATTCAGCTATGAAATTCTGAAAAAACTTCTCAAATAGCCATCACCTGTTCAAAAGACTAAGGAGAGCCTCATAAACAGTCAGAGGGAGAGAGATAAGAAAGAGAGACCGGGAGGGAGGGAGGGATGGAGGGAGAGAGGAGGCACTTGGAGAGAGAGAGAGAGAGAGAGAGAGATTGCACGATGCACAGAGAGAGAGAGAGAGAAACAGAGTGGAGTGAAAAACGAGGAGGAGAGGGAGAGAGAGAGAGGCAGATAGAGAGAGACAGAAAGAAAGAGACAGAGACAGAGAGACGGACAGACAGACAGACAGAGCGGAGCGCAGTGAGAAAGGGAGAAGGAGGGAGAGAGAGGGGAAGACAGACAGAATGTCTCTCTCTCTCTCTCTCTCTCTCTCTCTCTCTCTCTCTCTCTCTCTCTCTCTCTCTCTCTCTCTATCTCTCTATCTATCTATCTATGTGTCTATGTATGTATGTATGTATCCATCAGGACATACAGTTTATGCGCGTGCCACTTCCCGAAAGTTTGAGTCACCCAGCCGGCTTTGCTTTGAACGCACTGTGCAGGGTTGGTCATACTAAGTGAACTACATGGGNCTCTCTCTCTCTCTCTCTCTCTCTCTCTCTCTCTCTCTCTCTCTCTCTCTCTGTGTGTGTGTGTGTGTGTGTGTGTGTGTGTGTGTGTGCAGAAGGGGCAGCCATGTATGCGCGTGCCACTTCCCGAAAGTTTGAGTCACCCAGCCGGCTTTGCTTTGAACGCACTGTGCAGGGTTGGTCATACTAAGTGAACTACATGGGGTAGCTGCTACTTCGTGGGCCGGCTGATACTATGCGATGTGAGCTCGGATGCAGCAATCCCCTCTAAAAAGCCTGAACCCACCCCCAAAAAAGAAAACCCCCATTTCACTTGACAAGAAAAACATACACTACATCCCACTACAGTGGCTGGGTTCCAAGTATTAAGGGTATTTTTTTAACCTCACAAGATTTGAAGTAACAGGCACCAGACAATTTCAGAAGTGGGTGCAGAGGAATAGCAATCAAATGGACATAGTTCAAGCGGATCCAGAGAGAGGCCAAGCGCATCTCGTGATGTTGCGTATGGGCCAACAGGAAAAAATAAAAACAACGCCTGATGCTCACAAGCCAACAGCCCAACCAAAGCGGGAAAGAAGTACATGGATCTGAGTGATGTTATGTACAACCCAACCCAACAGAAAAACAATGCCTGACACTCACGAACCAGAAATTGAAAAAGTGCAGCCCAGCCCAACCAAGACCTGGAAAGGTGTACCAACTGAGCTAAGTTGGTACACCTCTGAATTGTCGAAATACAGATCTGAGCTCGAACTCCACTGCAAGAAGATGAGTAAAATACTACAGTTCTGAATTACCCATATCCGCCCCCCTTCAACAAAAAAAATAAATGGAAAAAGGACCAGAAGGTGCAGCCCGGCCCAACAAAAACGTAAAAAGAGCAGCCCTGGCTAACCAAGAACAGAAAAATTACAGCCCGGCCAAAAATGGAAAGAAAGAAAACGGATCTGTGTGATGCTTATGTTCACCTCCCGGTTCGCCAAGTTTGACTCATGAGAAGATGAGCTCCGTATAAGCTGGCTGCGACGCAGCGTTACAACCCACTGGAGGGACTTGACAGAGAATAGACGGATGCAGTTGAGATGATGTTTGGTGATTGCTTAGATAACACACCAATGCAAGCACCACTCACACACATGCACACACACACACACACACACACACACACACACACACACACACTCCACAATGTATCCATGATCACAATAAAAATAACGTTTCGAACCGGGGAGTGCACTAATGCTAACAGGAACATTTGCAGCAATCAGTTTCCTTTCAATGCCGGGAAAGAGGTACAATGATACAGTGAGGGAGTGGAAAGTGTAATGCAGAGCATAGAATATGATAGACACAAATGGAGGGGGGGGAAAAAAAAGAATCAAGGAGAGGGAAAAGGGCATCAGTACGTCCTGCAGACAAAACGCACGCGTTCAAGAGCGGACATCATAACGAGCAAAAAAGAAGACAGAGATCAGACACCGGTGTTGGAAGTTCTGAAGCTCCAAAGGATGGCAAGTCAGGACTGTGCAAAACGTAGGCCATGGTGCTGAAAATTCCTGGGGAACTCCATGGGAAGTCGACACACGAAGGGAACAAGTATACATCATTGGGAAGAAAGACAAAAGGCGTGGCAGAAGATTGATATGGTGGTCTATATTCTCTGAAGTGGCACCTGTGCGACACAAAATCCGTCTATCAACGATGCCCCTGATTTTTCATGGCAAGGCGCTGAATTTTTGCAGCAAAAGGTGGCTGAGCGCTTGTTTTTTGTTATAGCTGTATGCAGCCGTTGCTCCTTTTTTGTTGTCCCTGTTTTCAGCAGTGCTGCACTTTTTCCTTGGTGGTGCTGTACTTCGTTTCAGAGTGATATGAAACAGGGGCATGAACCAACACACAAGTTATGAATACCAAAAGGGTGCAGAGAAGGCCCACGGACCCATCAGACGTCAATGATAGCCAGAAGGGTCTATGTTTGTGAGGACAGGCGTGGATCCATTTGGCTTTCAACCAGGTGAGAACGTGGCATTGCACTGCTGGATCACTCCATGCATGCCCATGACACTATGATTTCCATTGGACAGCTGAGCTGGCACATGCAACACCTCAGGCATTTCTACTTGACATTTGCACAGATCTATGCAATGAATCGCAGCTTCGAGCGGGCTGTAAACTAAGTAGCTAGGTTTCTTTAACTTTTTGGTAGATCTGTGACCTTTGGGGTTTGATAACTTTGATCCCTACACCTATGCCTAACAGGGACGGCTCTAACTTTGGCTGCATTAGGAGTTCCACAGGCCTTGATCCCGGAACCTCTCCCTTACAGGGACTTGTCTTTGCTGTTGTGGCCTAGGTTCAGTGAGTCTGTCTACTCTGTCCCTGCAGTCCGGTAGTCCGTGAAGTCAGTCGAAGTTTTGGGATGCTACAAAAGTGTCGAGGCAAAGGAGGAAGGGGTTCTTCCTTCGTTTTTTCTTTTCATGAGGTGTGGAGGAATGGAGGTCGCGTTCCTGCTGCTGCGCTAAGTTTTCCAGCGCCGCCATCTTCATCGTGGTGGTCAGGTGGCGTCCATAGCTGGGCTGCTAGCTTCCCTCGAGAGCAGCGCTTGTGATACAGCCCCTGAGTGCTGTGAGGGTGCTCCCTCCTACTGTGTTTGTTGAGGGTATGACAGCTGCCACTGAAGCAGCCCGTTCACGAGTCTTCTCCAAGTGGCAGGCAACTCCCTTTCATCGTGTTGGTGTTCTTCTTCTTCATCCAGGGAGCTCCTCTCTCCTGTTGACTGGACACGTCATCTGAAGTGGGCATCGGATTGGACCGCTGAGTGTCTTGTTGGGTTCAGGAGGGTCGAGGGAGACTGATGGGCTGTTTGGTTGGCCACTGCACCGCGTCATAGCTAGAGCTTGACTTGAAGGAGGAAGAAGAAGACTCCCAGACACTTCGATGAAGCTTTTGTAAATAGTTGGTTTCTGTTTGTTAATAACATGGTTGGGATTCTTGGGAAAAACAGTGCGTGGATTGGCTAGACGGAGCGGCGTATTAATTATAATTGATTAATTTCAATTCTATTTTTGGTTCCAAGTGCTTACGCTGTGTATTCTCTAATCTTGTGAGGTGTGAATTGCTCTTTCCAAGATCTCTTGTCATTGCGCGTGTACGGGAATCTGTGGATGCCATGCTGTATCTCGATTCGTATGGGAACGTGTGGATGCCATGCTGTATCACGCTTCGATCAGGCCCACAACGTAGCTTGTGTCACTGTCACTCTTGAGATCATTATGCTGCATGAGTTGGAAAAGGCGAATTAGAAGAAAGAAAAAGAAAGTAGTGGTTCCCTGAAATCGATAATGATGACCAAATGGTGCAGTAAAAGACTGGTAAATGCAAGAAGCGACCATCATGTGGATGTCACAGCGATATATTCAAGTCCTTCAGGAAGGCTTCCATGTCAACCTGGTTCTAAGAGAGGGGCATTGGATCTTCACAATTCTTCGGGGTCGTTGAACTGAACGGACACCAAGCTAGAAAACGATGTCCCAACCGCTCCCCAACGAAAAAAGTGATAAAGAATGAGCACGATGGCAGGAAAGAATTGCTTACATGTACTCCGGTTTCATGAAGTCGGATACACCAGTAACACCACATTGTTGTTTCCAAAAACAAATCAGAGCAACCAGATGGTCGTCATGAACTACGTTTTTGTACTGCCAAGAGCACAAACATACCTTGCGCTGCTCGTCCTCCCTGGCCTTTTTAGCAGCTCTCTGCTCTTTCTCTTTTTTCCTCATGTAGTCCACCTTCAACCTGCATACCAACAATGTCATTCGTTGTTATTCTCCTTGGCTGCATCATAATTTTTCCAAATGCAGTGCTGATTCTGCGTAAGAAGCAGGAACCATGGACATGCAAAACAAAGTGCTCGGGGAAAAAAAAAAAGTTGAACTATGCGACGTTCTTACAAAGGTTGACCAGCACATATGTGCAATGGCAATTGCAGCAAAACCGCACACATAATGGAAAAACAAATAGACTCCGACATCCAGCTTGGCAGGTAACTCTTTCTCTTCGCTCATGGGAAGCAGGAAGTCTTCAATCCACCAGATCGAGTCTGAGGTCTCTGAAAAATGGTTGATCAATAGAATCTGCGATTTGGCAGGAGCTTCTCCTTTCACCCGAATTGCCAGCATCTTTTCTTAAAAAATTTATACAATGTTTGCAGCCTGTCAACCGCCGACAGCTACCAGCTGACGAGAGCAAGTCTAATGGTTGGAACCTATTCATTAGCAGTTTGCCAGCCGCAAGGTCAGCATCTGCAATTGGGCAGAAGCTTCTCCTTGCACAAGCATCAGGAGTGGTTATATCATGGTTGACGGCTGGACGTCTGGATCCCGACACAGACAGGCCGGGTCTGGAGGTCCGGGCGCAAGATCCAGTCCACTAGATCCCGACTAGCGCTAAGGTATATTTTTGGGTCCTGCTGGGCACCCCCGCCAAACTGCCTGGGTCTCTCTCTCTCTCTCTCTCTCTCTCTCTCTCTCTCTCTCTCNTGTGTGTGTGTGTGTGTGTGTGTGTGTGTGTGTGCGTGTGTAAGTTTTTCCTTTCTTTTCCTGGCTGCTTTGTTATTGTTATTTCAGTAGATTGTCATTTCAGTAGAATACAGCATATAAGTCTTTCTTTTCTTTTCCTGGCTGCTTTGTTATTGTTATTTCAGTAGATTGTCATTCCAGTAGAATACAGCGGGTCTTCTTGTTCTGCGTTGGATAGTTTCAGTGCTGTGTAATTGAATTGTCATTCAAGTAGATAACTTCAGGCTTATTGTTGTACGTCGAATCATTGCCACTGACAGCTACCGACTGAGCAGAGGAAGCCTCCTGGTTGACGCCTATTGGTCAGCAGTTTGCCAACTGCTGAGTTCGTGACAACTCTTGTGAACTTTGGGGACCCAATTGTGCCAGTCCCCACAACCTAGAGTTTCCCATCACTTGTGCTCCGCATTAAGCTTGGGGGGGGGAGAGGGCAAAGATGGGTGAAGGCCAGGGCACGTTGTTCAGTAACTACATGGACAAGAGCCAGCAGGTCGGCAGGCGGACAAACAGATGGACCAACCGGCAAACGAAGGGATTGACAAACTGCCAGAAGGAATGACAGATGAAAGAACGTGTGTGTGTGGACAGACAGACGAAACAGATCGATGGACAGAGCAGAGCAGCAGATTCAGTGAAGGTGGTGATTTTGGCAGGCAAAATCTCAGTTTACCACACACACAACGAGAAAAAGCATCCATGTCAACGACAGGATGGTGACATCAAATGCAGAAGGAAATGCAAAGGGGTTGTAAAGAACCAGAAGAGGGAGGGAGGGAGGGAGGGAGGGAAGGAAGAAGGACAGAAGGAAGGAAACCAAATAGATGGCAGCTTTATTGATTATGATGATTATAATGAGGATGAATACAGGCCTTGCTTCCCTACACCAACACGTCTGGGCAGGCACTGGCACCAATTTGACAGTACCAGCCTTACGGATTACCTGTAGGCACCTATTGGTAGACACCTATTGGTAGGTCTCTAGAAGTCGCGTAGTTGGAACAGTGCCTAGTGGTCAGAGTACCACCAGCAGTCTGTGTTGCAGTGAAGAGTGTAACAGGGGAATTTTATTTTCATTTTTTCACGTTATGTTTAGGCATATAAATTCGAGCCCTTGGGCCATAAGATCTCCTATGCCAGCCTTTACACCCTTGGGCCATAAGAGCTCCTATGCCAGCCTTTACACCCTTGGGGCATAAGATCTCCTATGCCAGCCAGACCTTAACAGCTAAACAGCATGGTCTACTTTGATCCTCCCTGGCTGCCAGCAAAACTATGCCCCTGGAATGCTTTCCTTGAGGTTACCATTGACGCACCAAAGCCCCAAACTAAGCACACTTGGAATGTATAAGTAGGCTACTCAAGGACACAAAAATCAATAGATTAGTAATTGTGCTCTTTGAGTTTCATTTCATACACAAACAGCAAGGTACCCAGAGGATGCGAGTAAAGTTAACCTGTAATGACATGGAACTTTTGTGCCTAGCACTGCCTCAAAGATCGATTCACTGAACCTGGGTGTCGGTTGGCGGTCCACCTGGGCAAAGCCGAAGGCCTGACTTTAGCGAGTCCATGCTGTTCTCATTTCTTTACGGGCTCCTTGCAAAGAGAGAAGTTGACGGCCTGGATTTCCTATCTATGGCCAATTTTTTTGATTCTTTCGGAACCATTCTGCTTCGAGTATTAGATTGGAATCTAGATCGTGTTGATTGTTCGAGACCTCACTCAGTGTTGGAACAGAATGGTTTTAGGCTGATCCCCTTAAGGGGTCCGCACAGGACAATTCTTACTACGGGATCTCTGAATTCTCCTTGGTATGGTCCCACCATGAAGTTATTTCCCCAGTTTTAGAGTGCAAAACGAAACCTTTGAACAAGCTCTTCTGACCTTTGCAAGCGCTCTTCCTCCCGCCGCACCATCTCCTTATGTGCTAGCACAGCACGCCTGTCACGGTGGTCACCTTTGAATTCTCGTATATGTTCAGGGACTTCAAAAGTTGGCTCTTGCTTTCCGTCCACCGCATTTTCAATTGACCCGGCTCCCTCTTGGCTGCCATTCACAGCTGCCATTGTTGCCATTCTTGCTCTCCAAGCGGCCAAGCGTTCTTCCCTTTCAGCAGCCCTAAGATCCTTCTCCCTACGCTTCTCCTGCAGACGAATCAGGGTGTTGAATAGGACATCATCATGAAAAGACGATTTGTCAAAAATTCAACTTCAAGAGGAATGTCCAGCGAGCAATACCTCCTGATAATAAACAGATGACATTCCATAAACAGAACTGGCTACCTGGGCACCTTCTTATTGAATATTTTGAGTGAACCATCTCCCAGAAGAGATCCTAAAGTAATTGCTTTACATTGATCCGACAAAGATATTTGTTTTAATTTTTTACGAGACAAATTGATTGCTGACGTACTTGTTAAAACTGTTTCCATATCTTCTATCTACTTTTTCTCGTAGTCTCTAACAGATCCTCTTGCTAATATTTATCAAATCAACACAGGACTTCCCTTGGGATTGATCCATCCAAGTAATGTAAATGAACGTTTTCCCGACAGAAAAGCCCAATAACCCCAACAGAGCAAGCAAAACCATCTTTCGAGGTACAATGGCTAGCATAATGGAGGCCATAGAGAGAAACAGTTTTCTGTGCAAGAACCCCTTCTGTGTTAGAATGGCAAATATAATTAGGCCACTTATTGATGATTCAGGTCTCCACCACAAATGCCTCAAGTTGGTACTTTACCACTCTCAATACGTCCTGATCACATGACGGTTGAAGTAAACGGTCACTGGGCGATCGGTATATCAAACACCATGTCTCCCTCCCTCTCTCTCTCTCTCTCTCTCTCTCTCTCTCTCTCTCTCTCTCTCTCTC